TTATTTGCATCAGTGGGAAAAATGTTTTATATAAGTGTTACTTTCATTTCAGAGAAAAATAATTATATTGGACTTACCATTAGAGTTGGGCAGAGGCAGTAGCTTGGGTAATGCAAGACACTGCCTGGGAGGAGACGGGTCAGGAAACTGAAGATACCAGGAGTCACTTGTATTGGGTTGCTGGGTTGCAAAAAGGGCAGGGATCCTTCTGTCCTAGAAGATAAAAAAGTAACAGAAATTGACAGGCTTCTTTATTGAACTTCAAAAGGTTTTGTTCTTTTATCCCACAGAGAGACTTTCACACAAATGATAGAAGACAATTTGAATTGTCTTGGCCACTTAAGCACTATTATCCGTGAAGCAAATGAGGAGCAGAGCAGTAGTGTAATGGTGAGTTTTGTATGGACATGGATGTGTGCTTGAGATATGTTGGGTGTAAAGTGCTTAACTTTCTAAGCTAGTCTTTATCTGGCATTCAAGAATCATATGTAGGGAATAGAACTCAGATGAAAGCATTGAGGAATATCTTTAAACTCAAATCCCCAGATGTTGTTACTCAGGGATATATTACTGTTGTGTCATTTGGGGTCAAGATGAGTTAAATGGTAAGCTATTGTTTTATTATGTGACCACTGATATGGAATGATTTATACTCCTTTGTTTTAGTGATCAGTTTTCTCCAATAAAATGGGACTTATACTGCAATTCCAATATATTATCTGCTCTGTATAAAATGAATTATGTTAACATAGTTCTATTTAATAACAATGCTTATATTGAGGTTTGTTTCGACTATTGATTTGTTAAAACTTGTAGAAATTCCAATAAAGTATTCACTAAATTAACTTTTACTGCATTTAGTCTTGAAATGTCAACTCCATATTTACTCTTTCATTAATAATAATATACAAAAAACTTGCAAAAGTTAAACCCGTATTCTTACTGTTTACAACATCTAATTGTAATTTTCTCATGCCTTGTTTTAGAGTCTAGATTGGAGTTGGTTAGCAGGATAATAAGCCACTTGTTCACTGACCCCAAACCTGTGGAAGTTGTTGCTGCACACATTGGAAATTTCTCACCCATCTTCAGATATGTCAGCTGGAGAAATGGCAATGATCATAAACTACGCCTGATTTTAAAAGCACAATGCTTTGATTTTGAATATTTTTAATGTCTAAAACAGATAGGATTTTATATAGAAGTCACTGGACTTGATGAAATATGTTTTAATATCTAAGCTACTTGTGATAATCATTATGACCCATTTTTCTAAGACTTTGGAAAACATTATTTATTTAACTGACTGAAAGTTCCTTTTAAAGTTTTTACTTTTGATCTTAAAGCCAAGCTTAGAGGAAACCTCATTTAGTGTTTTGGCTACCTGTGGTTCTGTGGAAGAAACTGTTCACAAATGCACTTCGTGGCATCATAAGGAGTGTTCTCAATTTTTAATTTTTACAGTTCTCATCTTACAGAAGGGATTGTGCATCTCTGCCTTTACTACCAGTTGACTCTTAATCATGGTGTGTGTTCTGTTAATATGTATTTAAGATGTACATTTAATAATATCAGAGAAATGTCTGTTAATTTATAATGTATTTGAAAGGTTATAGTTATGAGTTTTTTCACTTGTAAAAATGATCATTTGTTTAAACAATATTGTGTCTTGTGATATGTTTATACATCTATATATACATATGTATATATGTCTGCACTCCTTTGTAATTACAAGCCCAAAAATCTAAAAAACTATGAAAGCAAAGTTTTTATCCCATAAACCTGTAACAAAACACTTGCAAATATAATCTAGACTGACATTTATTCTACTTATCCCATTTAGTGTGAATATCGGTTTATTTTGCTGCAAAAATAGTCACATGCCTGATCACTGCAGGGAGTGAGAGGGGTGCTGCCAGACTCGGCGGAGGGCTCCTGTAGAACGGCACGTGCACTGAGTTACCTTCCTCAAATCTGAACATTTCATATTTGTGACGTATCTGGCTCCACAGATAAACGACTGTGGGTCTCTGTTATCTGCTAAATAATTTTAGAAGCTATTATTTGGGGTTTTTTTCTTTAATGTGAAATGCTTTTATATTATAGTTTTTCACTTTGTGTATTAAATGATTTTTAAACTAACTCTTGAACTTCTATTCATTATAATAGGTTTTTATAATACAGTATTTAAATATGGTTTCGGAAAATGTGAAGGTTTCAGGAGGTAATATTGGAGCTCTGAATAAAGCAATACTTTCTCTTTACTTTCAGAGGTTAGCCCATGATCAGTATAGGGAAGCTTCTTTCAGTGACTGTCTTCCTCTGATGTCAAAAGTCATGTTTATATCTTGTCCTATAAATTGATGTCATAGTCCTCTCCATTTTGCTAACAATGTCATTTTTCCAGTGACCCAAATGTGAAACCTCGTTGTTTTCTCTCATAGTTTTTAATCATCACTGTTTCTCTGTGGGTTGCTCTGTCCATCTACTTTGCATCCATAGTTACAAAAGTTTTTGGGTTTTTTTTTAATGTATTGAAGAGAAAATCAATAGCTGCCATGTACTAGTTTACTCCCCAAATGCGCTGGGTATGAAAAGAGGAGCAAGAGCCAGAAAAGCAAGCCTCATCTCTCAGGTGGGTAATGGGAACTCAGTTACTTGAGGACAGTGCTGCCTTCAGCATCTGATTGGTTGGAAGCTGGAGTCGGGAGCCGCAACTCAACCAAGGCACTCCAGTGTGTGACATGGGTGTCTTGATCACTAGGCTAAATGCCTGCTCCCCAGAAGGTTTACATAGTAAATACTGCTGGATATTTCCTGCTTGAAAATTAATAAACTAGATGGCAAGATCAGAAACATAGGCTATACAATAAAGGTGCTTATTTAGGGTTCTATGATCATTCATTTTTACTTTTTATTTATTTATTTATTTATTTTGTTTGAAAGCAGTTAGGGAAGAAGGGAGAGAAACAGAGATCTGTCCACTGGTTCACTGCTCATGTTGCCCAAGGCAGGAGTCAGGAACTTCATCTAGTCTGCCACGTAGGTGCAGGGATCCAAGCACTTGGCCTACCTCTGCTTCTTTCTCTGGTGTATTAGCAAATGCCTAATTGAAAGTGGAGCAGCTGGGACTTGAACTAGCATGCATATAGGACAGTGGCATTGCAGGCAGCAGCTTTACTCACTGTGCAACAATACAGACTCCAAGGATGCATTTTGAAATACCACTGTGTGAATTTGTAAAGAGATCTGCTGTAGAGTAGTGGCCATCTTGAGATGTCAGGGCAGTTTGATGCAGGACCCTGGCAGGTGTTAGGAGTAGGAGTGGACTACTGCAGTGAGATTACCTCCAAACTGTTACTTTGATGCAAACTGGACTCTACTCTTTTTTGTTCAGTCACAACTTTCTGAGTTGAGTGGAAGTTGTGAAATACACATTGCATTCATCAACCAAAGGAACACTATGCAAAACTCTGAAAATACATCCAGAAAACACAATGGCTCTAGCAAGTTATTTGTTTTTTGGAAGTAGAACAGCTAAGCTCTGCAAATGCCATTTATCTGGAAGAAGGCTCCCACCCTTGCTGTGAAATAAAAAAATCAAATATGTGATACTGGTAAGTCCTTTATTAAAGGAAGTGATTGAAGTGATGTGGTAACAGTTGCTTTAATGAGGATAACCTTAGGCCTACAGTTTTGTTTTGCTTTCTTTTTAAAACTTTCAGTATTTTTCTGTTGTATCTAGATGTGTGTGGTGAAGTATTTTTATTGGAAAGGCAGATTACAGAGAAATAGAGACAGATCTTCCATCTGCTGGTTCACTCATGTGGCCACAATGGCCAGAGCTCAACCAGTCCGAAGCCAGGAGCCTCTTTCGGGGTCTCCCACATGGGTGCAGGGTCCAAAGGCTTTGGGCCATTCTCTGCTTTCCCAGGCCACAAGCAGAGAGCTGGATGGGAAGTGGAACTGCCAGGACATGAACTGGCACCCATTTGGATCCTGGTGCTTGAAGTGATTGCCTTATTGTTTGTCGACTACTTGGCTTTCCTGCCTGTAGTCTGTCTCCTCTCAGGCACTTTGCAGATTCATTGGCCTTGGAGCACTGCTTCCCCTCTTCCTCTGCACGACAGGCTGGAAGCCCTAGCAAACCAGTCAGCCTGATCAGCCGTGGCCTCAGCACAGCCTTGCAAGGCAAAGCCATTTCTGCCCAACCTGCAAAATGGACTGGGCTTACTTTCCTTGTATTCATCCATCTCTTGCCAGACTCCACCCTTTTCCTTTACCCTCTGTGTTCTTGGTAACATGTGCATGATGCAAAATTTTTAAAAAGTACCAAAGGATGCAGTGACATTTCTGTGTGCATGTCCAGTGGTCCTCTCAGCACAGTGCATTCCTGAGTTTCAGAATCTGGTCCTATCCCAGCCCGTGGTGCCACTACTTTGCAGCCCATGAGGCCTCTGGAAAACTCCAGCGCTCATTGTTTCTTTGGTCCTCCAGGAGGGCTGCTTTGTCCCTCACATCATGTGCTTAACCCACTCTGTGTCTCTTCCTGGGTGGTCTTAATAAAGCCCTAATTGGATCAGCATTCTGGCACGGCAACACACACACACACACACACACCACCCCCACCCCCACCCCCCTCTTTAAATAATAGTAATAATGAGTGAATGAAGCAAACAGTTCCCTCTTCTGAACTTTACTGGCAACAAGTTTGGATTCCGTAGTTACCCCGAAAAAGACCAAAGAAACACGTTGAGGGTGTGGGAACGGGTTCTCCGCCTACGGGCAGAGTGGCTAGTTCCTGGTCTTAGTGGCCCTTTTCTCTGCGTCCGCCAGGAGCGCCCTTCCTCCGGCCCGGCAGCTCACCTGCGGCGCACCGAAGGAAGCCGCCGCCGGTTCGAGAATTTTTGTTCCACTCGCTTTCCCGTCTGCGGCGAGGGCGGGGCACTGCGCGCCGTGCGTCTCGGCGCAGGCGCAGTGTCCGGGCAGGAGGCCCGGCTCCTGGCGGCAGTTGGCGCGGCCCGGGAGGCGGCCGCACGTGCGGGCGGAGGCGATGCGTCACTGATCGGTGAGGCGCGCCCGAGGGGTCGGCTTCCCCGGCCCCGGTGCCTTCCGCAGACCCCGCGGCGGCGAGGAGGGGGAATTAGGAGGCGCTCCGTGCGGGCGCGGCCCGTCGGCCGCCTGGGCGCGGAGGAGGGGGCGACACGGGAAGGATGAAGGGAAAAGGGCGCCGTGCCCACCCGCTCAGCCTGTGAGGGGGCGCCGGGGCTCCGGAGGAGGGAGGGCTCGGGCCCGTCGCTCCGGGCACTGAGCGTCCTTGCCTCCCTGGCCCAGGAGAAACCAGGATGAATATGACTCAAGCCCGGGTGCTGGTGGCTGCCGTGGTGGGGCTGGTGGCCGTCCTCCTCTACGCCTCCATCCACAAGATCGAGGAGGGACACCTGGCTGTCTACTACAGGTGAGGGGCGTGCGCGCGGGGGGCGCGGCTTCCAGAGCAGGTGGCAAGGGGACTCCGGTTGTAATGGAGTCAGGCCAGTCCCTCGGCGAGCGCTCACGGTCGGGACAGGGGGATGCCTGGGCAGGCTTCTGCGGAGCTCCCTGCGGGTGTCGGTACCTCTGTGCCCAGCTTGTGCAGAGATCCTTACAGGTTTTTCCGAGGACACAGTGAACTCCATTCTTTACAGAAAAGGGAAAGAAGTAGTTACCCTACGTGTAACTGAAGAAGTGCTTGAATCATGTGTAATGCATAGAGCTGTGCAGGCTTGAGTTGGCTGCCAGAGCTGCTGTTAGAAAATGTAGTTCTGTTTAAGGTTGGTTCTTAAATTTGTTTTTGTTGATGAGATCCCAGTGCCTGGTTATGTCTTGAGAGACTGGGAGGTCTCTCCCAGTCTTGAGGACCATGGCGGTTGTTACTACCTGAACCTAAAGGGACGGAGGCCAGCATTGCTGAGCCCCCTCCGCTCCCTTCTTTTCAAGTGAGAGAGAGGACGTGCTGCTGTGTCTTGGGCTCCCACCCCCGCCCCTTGAAACGTTAGGTACCGCCAGTTCCTTTTTATTCTGACTGCAAAGAGCGAGGCCAGTTGGTTGAGAAATTGGGGTTATTGGTGTATTTTTAAAAGCTCCAGCTTTTTGATTGTTTCCATAATTTTGCCCACCACCACCGCCCCTACAAAAAAAAAAAAATAGATCCACCCTGAGTCATGGAGGAGGTGGTAGCCAGCACAGCTCCAACATAAGAAATGACAGATGAATTCCGACTTCCTTCCAACACCGAAACCAAGGAAGGACCAGGTCGGGGAACAGCTGTCAGAATTAGTGTTCAGTCTCAAGTTGTTTGCCTCTTTTTAAGTTTTGACTTTTTAGCTAAGTCTGGTAAGTTTATCACTCTTTATGTAAAACCGGAGTTCTTTATTTGTTCCCCAAATGCATTTGCGCTACATGCAGTATGTGCTTTCGTAGTTCCTAGATTCCAGAATTTGATGAACAAACCTCATCTCTTTATAATCTGCCTTTCACCCTTTTTGTTGTTTTTAGATAGAAGCTTGATGTAGATGAATCATGGGTCTCAGCTTTTCCTCCTTCCTTGAAAGTATGTGTAGTCTTCTTGTTTTCAACCTGGCAATTAAATATTATATTCTGTACAACGTGCAGTAGAGTGTTACAGCCTTTATCACCAGTGTCTGTGAGAAAGTCAAAGAGCAGGGAGAGTACTCTGACCCAGAGGGTGTCCTGGGCACCCAGAGGTGAAGTGGCTGGCACCTAGAAACCAGCTGTAACACAGGCTGCTTATTTTGGCGTTTTTACCTTTACAGGTGTGGTAGGTGTTTTAAGCAGCAGTTGTTCATCCAGAGCAGCTCATTTTAGTGGATTTAGTCCAGTGGCATGAGTAAGAGTGTTGCAGCATTTTAGATTCAGAAGGAGAATTTCTCTAATTTCACCAAATTGAAACATCTTTTCGCAGGGGAGGAGCTTTACTAACTAGCCCCAGTGGACCAGGCTATCATATCATGTTGCCTTTCATTACCACCTTCCGATCTGTGCAGGTGAGTGACTCTGAGGCAGCCCCACACTGACTGGACAGGTGTGACAGGAGGAGCTGCCGCCCACGTGGGTGGAGGTGGATTTCCTTATTACTCAAGCAGATGGCGGTATTTACTTACAGGAGTTAAAGTTCAGAGTAAGTACAGTTGTCACAGCACAAACTGGTTTTGAACAACCCTGTTATCTTGATGTGAATATAGAGTATGAGCTAAGGCAGCTTGGGAAAACTGACTTAGCATATAGTGTGTAGCAAGTTTTCTGTTGACTGCTGTCAAAATAAAAGCAAGAATTAGAAACCCGATTAGAAGTACAAATCAGTGATTGCTTGGCTTAGCCCAGTGTTTGACTTTCCGAGAGGCAGGCTCTTGGTACTATTAACATGGAGGATCTGAGGTTTGATACATAGCTTTTTAACCTCACATTTTTTGCTCAGTATATTAAGCACAATTTCTTGTGGAACTTTAGTGAATGTTGTATTTTGACAGCATCCCAGGATATTTAGTAAAGTAGTTGAAATGAGTCTCTTGACCATAGAAAATGCTTGATAAATGTCTTTTGACATAGGATTAGGCTGTGACTTCTTGTGCAAGCTCATTGTGATCATAAATCTTTGATTTCAGAAGTTTTATCGACCATTTGCTATTGATTTTTCAGGACTCAAGAAAACTGAATGTTATTTAAGCTTGTAGTTCTACATCTAGGCTTCTTGCTGAATGAGAACTTAATTTTGAATACTTAAATCCTTCAGGTTTCCTTCAAGTTCCTTTTAGAGAGATTGGGGAAAGAATGATATCTACTGAAGTAAAATGTAATGTCTTCCTTTAGTCACCCATTTCCATATTGTTTTCCCATAGTTATTTTTTATTCTTGCCAGGGTTGATGTTCTCACCGCTTCACTCACCGTCTCGGCCTCCTGCCTCTTTTAGGCTAAGTTTTCAACCCAAGAACTGTTTAATTCTCTTCCCTCCTAGAATTTTACATATAACCAACTCATCAAGCCCTTCCTCTGTTGTGTCTCCAAAATGTATAGCCTTCAGTTTCAATGCCCTTTACTAAATTGAACTAAATAAATTTTCCAGCTGACTTTTTTGCCTCCAGATAAAATGGATAATGAGGATTTCATCACAATTAGAACAAAGGAATTAAGTACAACCTTTTTTTTAAAGACTCATTTGGTCACCATATGGGATGAGGTAGTAAGAGCCCAGACACACCAGCCAACTTTCAGGACCCTGTAAATAATATCACTATGTCTGCATCTCAGCATTTTGCCTCATTTAAATTTACCCCTTGGCTCCTGTCAAGCCAGTTGTCTTCCTGTCACCCGTACATGCAATTCATATTCATCTTTCTGTGTTCAGATGTGATATTTATTGAATTTCAGTTGTTCTTGTGTCTTGCCTATTCTTACTTCTCCCCATTCAGACCTGATTTCTGAGAATTTCACATCAGTAAGAAAACCATTAGCTTTTCTTACCCAACAATTGAGCATCTGCTCTGCTGCTGTGTACCTGTTGGTGGGTTACTTTGTAAGAATCTCCTCTTCTATGCTAGATTGTGAGCTCTCTGGAAACAGAGATGACTCTTCCTGTTTCTTCTGTGTTCCATAGAATTGTCTGTTGCTGTGTGCTTGATAGATACAGCGTGTCCAGGCTGTACTCCTTAGATCTGCCCACATATCTGAGGCGTTAGAATGCAATGTCATTCCAGATCTGAAAAAAGGTGTGGTGGGGGAAAGCAATCAAGTACATGAATGGTGGTTCAGTAGAAGGAAACTGTATTGGTGATAACACTTGTATTTTATTTTATTTCTTTTTATCTAAGCATGTATTTATTTTTATTTGAAATGCTGAACCACAGAGAATGACAGAGAGGTCTTCCATTCATTGATTCAGTCAGCTGCAATGGTCAGATATGGGCTGGTTCGAAGTCAAGAGCTTCTACAAAGTCTCCCATATGGATACAAGGACCCAAGGACTTGAGCCATCCTCTGCTGCTTTGCTGGGCCGTAAGCAGGGAGCTGATTAGAAGTAGATCAGCTGGGACTTGAACCTGTGCCTGTATGAGATGCTAATACTGCAAGTGGATGTTTAACATGCAGTGCCACAGTGCTGGCCCCAAACTTCTATTAAAGGAGAAACTGAACTGAACACAAAAGAGATCAATAAGTGCTGAACTAAAATTACTTGAGTACAGTTTCAGAGTCAAAAGGTTGCTGTTGAGTCCAAGGACAGACTGGAGTTGTAGAACACTTGTATGCTTGTGATATTTATGTCTTGTCTGCAGTGTGAAAAGTGAATTTAGTGGTGAAATTCAAGTTCAAAGCTCAGGTCCTAGCCATAGCATCTTCATGGGTTAGCCATTAAGTGTATAATTCCAGCAAGTTCCAGATGAAGGGAGTTTTCTGCTTATGAACAGATTGAACATTAGTCCTTCCCCAGTGCATCTTTATTTAAAGATTTGTTTAAATCCACAGTTTGGCTGGGCTATAAAGAGAATGACTGCTTTATAGCTCAGTCTGGAGGGACTGAAATTGTGTTGGAATTGTGCTGTGCTTGCTCCCAGCACAGGTTTTTCTCTGGGCTTAATGGTTCGTGGGCGCGTTGTATCTACAGTGTTGATGGTATTTTTCTTTCCACAGACAACACTACAAACTGATGAAGTAAAGAATGTGCCTTGTGGGACAAGGTAAGCTTGCTCCTTGATGATTTCCTATTAGCTCAGGAAGAGTGTCTGCTCCTCACGCCGTGATGATTGCATAGGCAACTTTCAAATCAGCATGAAACCAAAGCAGAGCATGACTGCTCTGAGCATGGTTAGAGCAAAGACCCACCCAGCTCCAAAATAGCAGCTTCCCATTTTAATCACCGTGAGATTCTTTCTGAAAACCATAGAATTTGAGAGCCAACAGACCTTACTTTGTATATCAGCATCAACTTTATTATCAAGAGCAATTTTAAGTCTGTAATAAAATTGAGGAGAAAATACAGAGTTCTCATAGACCCTTTGTCTTTACTGACTTTTCTAAGGTTAGTTTCCTCAGGTAAAAATTGAGTAATACAAGACCTGTCTTACACATTTGCCGTACCGGTTCAGAATAATACGGATGAAGTGGTAAGACTAGCACATAGCCCAAAACATGGTATTTAATAAGTAGTTTAGCATTTTGGTATCCCGCCTTCTCATCTGTAGAATTAAGTGCCATTGAATTTAGTTTTTGATATGGTAAGTCTGAAATGAGACCAGATAAAAGTTCCCTACTCTTTGCTTCTGTTCTAAAGATCTCACTTTGAAATTGCTGACCTGCGCAGGTTTACGAAGAAAATGGCAGGCAAAGCCCAAGTTATTTCTCAGATATAATCTCTACATTGAATTGGATCAAAAAAAGAATGTGCAATTCGAAATATTTTTAAATGACCTAAAATATTAATGATATAAGCCCCCAAAATAGTTTGATATCAATAGAGGGACAGACATGCTTGGAGTTAAAATAATATATTTGAGTATCAGTTTCTGCTTAGATCTGTGTATAGCTCTCCTTTGTGGTTCTCTTTAGTGGCTCACACTTTTTCCCTGTCGTTGTTTTTAGCGGTGGAGTCATGATCTACATAGAGCGAATAGAAGTGGTTAATATGTTAGCTCCTTATGCAGGTATGTTAGCAATCATTTATATTATTTATAATTATAACCAAATTATTTGTAACTGAAAGATTATTTGGAAAATAGAGAAGTACTTGTGAGGTTTATGTAAAAAATAATCATAAGGGGCCCGATGTGATGGCTCAGTGGCTAAATCCTCCCTTTGAAAAGTTCCAGAATCCCATATGTACACTGGTGTGTTTTGGCAGCTCTGTTTCGCAGGACCTGTAGCTCCCTGCCTGTGGCCTGGGAAACCAGTTGAGGATGGCCCAAAGCCTTGAGACCCTGCACTGCATGGGAGACCCGACCCGGAGGAGGCTACTGGTTCCTGGCCCCTGATTGACTTAACTCCAGCTGTTGCAGCCACTTGAGGAGTGAACCAGCAGATGGGAGATCTTTCTCCCTGTGTCTCCTTCCCTCTATAAATCTGCTTTTCCAATAAACATTAATCTTTAAAAAACGTAAGAATATTCTGTTTCAAAGAAATGGAGACAAAAATAGGCCACAAATTACAGATGACAGACTGTCCAACCACATGGTTTTTTTCTCTTGAGCTTAATATTTGTAAGAACCAGACAGTCATGATTATTTCTGGAAGGAGATAGTAGCAATTTATACAGTCAGGATGAGATAATTTACTGTGTGCTAAAATATCTGTAACTGATCAGTTCCTTGGGTCACAGTCATTTGTCACAGGAATCGTTTTTGATTGTTGTTTGGTATAACTTGCAAAGTAATCTGAATGTCCTCAGGAAAGCATTTTCTTTCTCCTTTTTTAAGATTTATTTTTATTGTAAAGGTAGATTTACAGAGAAGCGAGTCAGAAAGATCTTCTGTTTGCCAGGAGTCAGTCGCTTCTTCTGGGTCTCCCATGTGGGTGCAGGGTCTCCAGGCCTTGGGCCATCCTCGAATGCTTTCCCAGACCACAAGCAGGGAGCTGGATGGGAAGTGGGGCTGCCGGGATATGAACTGGAGCCTATGTGGGATCCCAGTGCTTGCAAGAGGAAGATTAATGAGATGAACCATTGTGCCAGGCCTGTGAGGAAAACATTTTCTTGGTAAATGATGAACACCCACACGTGTAGTATGGGTGTTAGTAATAAAAATTTAGGCACACTGTAGAAAGATAAGCAACTTTATCTTTGCCTTGGTTTAAAAAAAAAAAACTGGCATGGCTTATATGTACAAGATTCTGAGGTTGGCAGAACAGTTCTGTGTTTTTGTTTGTTTTTGAGACTTAAAAAAGAAAAAGCCAACGTGCTGACTCAACAGGCTCTACCTGCAAACCATGGCATCCCCTATGGACGCTGGTTTGTATCCTTGGGACCTGCATCCAGGTAGGAGACCCAGAAGAAGCTCTGGCTATTGTGGCCATTTGGTCAGGGTACCAGCGGATTGAAGATTTTTTATCTCTCAGTCTTCTCTCTGTAACTCTGCCTTTCAAATAAGAATAAGTAAATCTTAAAAGAAATTAGTTATTTTTATCTGAAAGGCAGAGTTGCATAAAGTGAAAAACAGATCTTGCATCTGCTGCTTCACTCTCCAAATGGCTACCAATGGCCGGAGCTGGGCCGGTTTGACGCCAGGAGCTTCTTTTAGGTATTCCACGTGAGTGCAGGGCCCAAACACTTGAGCAATACTCCACTGCTTTTTTCCCAGGCACATTATCAGGAAGTTGGATTGGAAGTGGAAGCAGCTGGGACTCAAACTGGCGCCCATATGAGATTCCAGTGCTGCTTGGCGGAGACTTAACTTGCTACACCATGGCGCTGGCCCCAGCAAAACAGTTTTAGAAGATGAGGTTATACCCTTTGCTTTCAAGGAGTTTTGCTTAACAAACTGTGATAAATGATATTTAGTATTTATTAATGACTTGTTCATCAGTTTTGATTTAGAAATCTAGTTGCATCCAATACCCTGTATGGGAAGGCCAGGAAAGCAAATTATTGGGTCTAAAGAGAAACAGAAAGGGGGCTCTAGCTGGTAGAGCGTAGTTTTCAACAAGGTTTAGTATGTGCCTTTTGAAACATTTCTAAGTACACAGTGGTAAGATTTTCAGGAGAGGATGTGTATAATATGCTGATGTGTATAAATTACCTGACATAATTCCTTCCCCTTCTAAGCTGGCGTCTTTTTAGTCTTTAAAAATATGGTCTTTTGCAGCTGCTCCTTTCTTTTATTTTCACCGTTCATTAAAGAGTTCCCTCCCTCTTAGCTAAACTTTGGCTATAAAGCTAAACTTTGCTTCTGATCTCTGCCTCTCAGTTCATCTGCTGAAAGATGCAAAAACACAAATTTCCTTTGACAGTTTCTTAGTCTCTAAAATAATGTGTTCCCTTGTTAGTAAGGAAATTGAGGTTCATCTGTTAGACCTGGAAATGCAAAGGTGCCTGAGAAATTGAGCACAAAGAATACATCAAAATTTTGAGTTATATTCTGTGTGTTTGTAATGTATATAATGTGATGGACTTAAAAAAATTAATTGAAAATAGAAATTAAGTGATAAGTTTATTTTGGTGCCAAAAATATTGAAATTCATTAACAATTTTTTTCATAATATGCATTTTCTATGAGCTTTTTGAAGACTTTTGGTCTATCACTCTCACATTTCCCCTGGCTGAATTTAAAGATACCTGAGTCATTGTTGGATGAAACAAACATGGGTTTACCTCTCCTTCAGTGTTTGATATCGTGAGAAACTACACTGCAGATTATGATAAGACCTTAATCTTCAATAAAATCCACCATGAGCTGAACCAGTTTTGCAGCGCCCACACACTACAAGAAGTTTACATTGAACTGTTTGGTAAGTGACATCCTGTTGGATACCTTGATAAACTCATATATTGATGGTATAATAATATACCTTATGTTATTTACCATTTCTGTTGGGTTTCTAGTAAAGGAATGGTTGAGATTAGAAAAGGTTCATTTATTCACTGTGTTAACTTAATGGCATTAACTTTGTTACTGATTAATAGATCATTTAAGGCTAGTCAGTAATTTGCGTTTAGCTCCCTAGACCCATCCCTCCCTCTATAATTTGTAGGAGGATTAAACAGTTATATTTATGACTTTAATACTCATAAGTGGGTTTTATTTTGGTCAAAAATCAAAAAGTGAAATCTTAAGGTCAAGTGTTAAGGAAGCCAAGCACAGGCTTCCCAGAGTCCTCTTAGAGTGGAGTCAACATAGGTTGGTTGCAAATTGTCCCAGTAACAAGTTGCAGCAACAAACACAGGGGAAGTGTTGTCCCCTGGGGAAGCTCATTAAAGATTCAGGGCAATGTGTTTTTGTTAGGGACTGGTCCTTTATGTTCCCTCTGCCAGCCCATCCCCAAATTCTGGTCTCCCAGAAGAAACATGTTCACCATGAGCCATAATATTTGTGTAGACAGTTTAGGCATAGTGAGCTGCTTATATCAGTTCTGGAAATGATGGGAACCCTCCTAAATCCAACCTCCCGTCTGCCAGTGAACGCTTAGACCTTTTAGCATAAGGAGTGTAAGTTCAGGTCTGCTATGTGAAATCTGCTGCAGAAATTACTTTTCAGTTGTGATAGTAAAAGTTCTGACCAGGTAATGGGTTATTGCTGTTGATGGCTTATAGAATTCTGTCTTGTGAAATTCTTGTTGAATTTCTTAGAGGGCATCATAGCTAGAGATGGTCCATAAATTAAAAACTGATAAGTCAGTCCTGAATTGTCACATCTCTGGCCATTTTAATAATGGTGGAAGAAGAAAATTCATGAGTTACAGGGCTGCATGAAGTGACACCATTGTTACTGGATATTGTGTGTGTGCTTGTGCTTCAGACTTTGCTATGAGCTTTTCCGTTTTTTTGTTGTTTTCTGTTTTTCTATTTTTAAATCCAAAAATTTATGTAAAACTAAGGTGTGAGAATCACATTTAGTTTACTTGGGAATTTAAATAAATATTGACTTGAGAAAAACTTGCTTTTTTGTGAGAATCGGGATATATGTTAGTAGCTGTGGATTAAGAAGGAGACCTAATTTATCGATGGAGTACATTTATTCTATACAGTAAATAAATTTTTTTAGTAAGTCTTATTTAAATTACCCAATAAAGAAGTTTGTCCAAAGTTAAGTTTAATAATAAGCTTACTGGATAAGCAGACTAGTTGTGTCATCTTCTTTCTTAATTTTTTCGTTAGATAATCAGTTTTCTTCTGCACAAAAGGAAAGTACATATATGAAGCAGGTTAAACTGTAAAAGAATAGTACCGCGGACACTTCAGGACTAATGATTGGGTTATTGGGTCATGCCCTTTATTTTGGCATTAAATGTGAGAAAAAAGTGTGAGAAAAATGGAGTATCATAGGATCTCTTGTTCTTGGCTTCAAAAACAGATCAAATAGATGAAAACCTGAAGCAAGCTCTACAGAAAGATTTAAACGCCATGGCCCCTGGCCTCACTATACAGGTAAGAACTTGGCCAAGGGCAGTTGTCTGAGAATTTTGAGGGCTTTAAGTTTATTCCTTCCATCATCAGATTGTTTATTGAGCAGTTATTTAATTGAAGTGCTATGGTAATTTCTAGAATATTTTTCCCATTTTGGCCTTTTATTTTTACTAAAATAAAATATTCTGTAGCTTATCAGTGATATTTTCTTGTGACCCCTTAGGGAAAAGTGATGAACTGATGCTTGTTTCCACCAGTGTGATGGGTATTTATCAGTGAGTCAGCTTTGCCCTCAGCTTATGAAGAAAAGCTTGAGGTCTAAGAGTTGAGCCATAATTCTTGATAGAATAGATGTCACAAAGTTTCAGTTGACATTCACAGGATGATTTTTGCTGTAAGAATAAGACTGGGAGGATTGCAAATTTGTTGAGATTTTAAGAAGGTCTGGAAAAGTTACTTGAATTTATATGAGAGAAGGAATTGTGAACTGGCTATTTCAGTGGGTGGGATAGTCTGAGTAAAAACCTGGTGAATATAATAGTGGGCCTGGTGGTATCACGTGGGAAATAGAATGGCATGAGTTTATATGCATTTCTGAATCACCATGTTTTCAGATTTGGGATTGAAATCTATTGATGGATTATAAAAGCAGTTTTAATGGTCATGGCCAATGTTTTAAACAAAATGGAATAGAATAGGAAAAAGAATGGTATGCAGTGAGTTTAAGTATTCTGTGAAACTTTTGTTCATTTTACCTAAGTATATGAGGATGGTATTTATTTTGGATGTCAGATGAATTTGTTTCTTACTGGGTGTGTGGTCAGTGCTTTTTGAAAGCCACATGCTGTGAAGTCCTTGAAAAGTGTTAATACTATTCTTTTGTCCTATCTCAGAAGCTTTGATAGATGAGTTGTTAATTGTTACGGTGAATATTGCTGCATCTAAAGATAAAAGAGCTTCCTTTCTGTGTGTGTGTGTGTGTGTGTGTGTGTGTGTGTGTGTGTGTGTGTGTATGTGTGTGTGGTCAATGGCACTGTTTTAGGTGTGTTTTTTTCCTTTAGCCACATTCATGCTATGTCATTTATCAGACAGGTGTGAGAGGAAACTGCTAAAGTTGAGAGGTCATTTGAAATGTCAAAAGTAATTTTGTACAATCTTCTTGCTAGTATCTGGAATAGTTGTTTAATGTTGAAGATGCTGACTGTGACTGTTAGGTTCCTCCTGTATTCTTTCTTGGAGCTCTCACTCATTTTAATAGTTTCATAGTAGAATTTCTTAACAACAGTTTAGTCATTTCTCTGTCCCGATATTTTGCTTTTAGTAGACAATAGTGTAATGAAGAATCATGATCCCTGCCCTTCTTTGTACAAATTCTCTCAAAATATTGTACAAGTTTATGTTTTTACCATCAGACTGTGAAAATACTTGTTTCCTAACAGTATTACAAGCTGTGGGACTAGTCACATCTGCTTATTTTTGCATATGAGTAGGAATGAAGTTGTGCAAGTAGTCATCTTTGATTTTAATTTCCTTGATTAGCAATGAGGTTGAGCCGTTCTGATAATTTTATTGTTTGTATATGCTCTCATCTGTTAGTTGTCTGTTCGTTAGCTTTACCAATTTATCTGTTGGATTTTTACTTTTCTTCCTGCCTGATTCATTGTCATTCTGTATAGGTGTTTTGGATATTTTTATACAAATAGGCACGTTACATGTTATAAGAAAAACAGATTAGGAGAGGAATGAAGAAAAAAGTAAAATTCGCCAATGATTTATGATAGAGAGAAAACATACATTTTTTTTGTCAGAAAAAAATTTTAAAGATTTATTTTATTTGAAAGGTAGCGTTACAGAGGGGTAGAGAGGGAGAGAGCTTCCATCACTGGTCCACTACTCCTCAAATGACTACGGTGGCCGGAGCTGAGCCAATTCAAAGCTAAGAGCTAGGAGTTTCTTCTGGGTCAGTGCAGGGCTCTGAGAACTTGAACCATCTTCTGCTGCTTCCCCAGACCATAAGCAGGGAGCCGGATCAGAAGTGGAGCAGCCAGAACGTGAACTGGTACCCATGTGGAATGCTGCTTACTATGCCACAGCACTAGACTTTGAAAGATTTTTTATTTAAAAAGTTATTTTGTGCTTCTTTTAGGTTAAGGTTAAAATGACTCATAGCCAGTCTGTTAATTAAAGGTAATAGTATAGTTCTTGTGGGGTGAGTTTCATCCATGTTAAAAGTCATCTTTACTCCTATGTCTGTTGTATAGCAAAATCTGGCATTTCTCACAAATTTTGGTTCTGAATTGTGACTTCTGCAAATCTCAGTCAGATTCTTCCTTATGTTCCTTGCATGCCTTACCTTCAAGGTGTGATGAATTTTTTTCTTCCCTTCTACTGTAATCTTCATTTTTGGTTACAGTAGTCTGAAAAGTTATCTCTGCATTTGACTGTTTCCATTCTTGTGTGCAGTGCCATATGGCTTAAAGTATTTTAAAGTTTCCATCTAGATAAGGATACAAGATGTTTGATTAATCAAAAACGTTTGATAGGGACTGGCATTGTGGCACAGCAGGTAAAACCACTACGTTGTAAGGGTGCTAGTTCATGTGCCAGCTGCTATGCTTTTGTCCAGCTCCCTGCTAACAGCCTGAGAATAACAGTGAAAGATGTCTCAAGTATTTGGGCTCTTGTTGTCTACATGAATCACCCAGATGCAGCTCCTGGTTCCTGCCTATGGGGTGGCCATCCCTGACTTGGCCTTTGTGGACATCTGGGGAATAACCCAGTGAATGAAAGGTCAGTCTGTCTCTTCCTCTGTCTGTAGCTCTGGCTTTCAAAAAAATTACCAAGTCTTTTTTTTATTTTAAGATGTATTTATTCTTTTTATTGGAAAGTCAGATATACAGCGAGGAGGAGAGACAGAGAGGAAGATCCTCCATCCGGTGGTTCACTCCCCAAGTGGCCGCAGTGGCTGGAGCTGAGCCAGTCTGAAGCCAGGAGTCAGGAGCTCCGCCAGGTCCCTTACGTGAGTGCAGGGTCCCAAGGCTTTGGGCCGTCCTTGACTGCTTCTCCAGACCACAAGCAGGGGCCACTGGGATTAGAACCAACAACCATATGGGATTCCAGTGCGTTCAAGGCGAGGACCTTAACCACTATCGTGCCTGGCCCAAATCTTTTTAAAAATAAGATAAGCTTTTGTGAGTTCAAGTCCTTGATGTAGGGAAGTCTGCCATGAAAAAATAGCAGTTCTTACATAGATAATCCTAGTGATGTCAGTATACCATGATTAGGGACACAGGATCACCGGAATAACTTCTGCAAAGCCAGAGTTTGTTCCATTGAAATCTCAGGGAGAAGTTATTGATTGGTATTTTCTTCCCTTCAGCCTTTAGACTAAATATGTACCATTAGAGTGACTGATAACAGTTTTAGCAAATGATAACATTTATTCATTACATATTACATGCAATTAATGTTCTGAGCTTGGTTTTCTGTTCTTTTTCTTGGATTGCTTCCAGACTTTACACTGAAAGTTTTTGAGCTTAGCCTTCCTTTTCTTTCTTTGGTTTACAAGTTTGCAAGGGAAGTAAAAATATTGAACTAATGAGTTTTGTAAGACATTGTTTAAGAAAGAACCTTTTTACCGAAGCTTATTTCCTCAGAGGGTAGAGTGATTTTTTTTCCTGTAGTTGGGCATTTAAGGAAATGGGAAGCAGCTTATCTGATTCTCGGTGTGATTGTGTGAAAACAGATTTTGTTGTGGTATCTCCACATATACCTGTGGATAGCTACATTATAGTTGTTATTTCATTGTTATCATTTAAGGGATTCTTATAGAAAATTTTAGTTTAAAGATTTCTTTTTCAAATATGCTTTGGTATTTTCACTTTTATTTTTTAGGCTGTGCGTGTTACAAAACCCAAAATCCCAGAAGCCATAAGAAGAAATTTTGAGTTAATGTGAGTAATATGCGTGGGGTACCGGTATTTCTGTGTAGGCTAGGGCTGTCCTAAAGCACCAGTGTAGGGGAAGCAAAGATGATGCACTCTGGGTGGGATGTACTCTATAAGTCTGTCATGTGTGTTTTCATTTAGCGATAATGCCTGTTCTTGTGTCTTAATTCTCACTGGCCTTTTACTACCTTTCTCTTATGGACATTGTAGGACCAGTTTCATGGGGTAGACACACTTTGCTATAGAACCTTTCTGGAAAGCTCAGGAACAAGAATTTGTTCATGAATAGTATCTTGAATTAAATAGTAATAGAGGAGAGAAAGTCCTAGCTTCCTAAGATTGATGAGAATGCCTGTCTCTTGTTACTGTGTTGTAATGGTAAGAACAGACACTTTGTTGGTATGAAGTTCAGGTTTCCATTGTATATATAAATGTATTAAAAATAGAACTGCATCTTTGTGACTTGCCTTCGGGGAAGGAGGTCTTACTTGAGATGACTACGTATGGTTTTCTCTTGCGTATGTCCAGTACTGGCTTGACGTGAGAAGTGACTTGCTTGACATCATATTGGTTTCTATGTGTTTTAGATGGTATCTAAGTAAGGGAAATAGTTACTGTGCTTGAAATGGCAGTACTAATCCGTGTTGAAGAATTACGCTACAAAAATAACTGCAGAAGTCATGAAAACAATAGATACATAAATGCAAGGGGTCCAAGGAGGAGGAGTATTGGTTGGTAGGATGATACGATCTTGAGTCTTTTTGCTCCCAAGTCTCTAAGTGCGTAGTGCATAATTTTGTTTTCCCTTTTGAGTTGCAGAAAAGGAACTCATATCTTTGAAGCTGTGTGATATGTCAGACTAGGGAAATCATGAGTTTGTGCCAGTTATAGGAAAAAGCACAGCCTGGGAAACCTTCAGCTTTAAATGTCATTACTGCTGCTGATGGGAAAATTACTTTTTTTTAGTCTGTTATCAAATAACTCAGGATGTTCAGAATATCATTTCATGTCTTTATGAATGTTAGCAAAGGATGGAGGCTTTGGGAGGACATGTCATGTATTGGAGTTAGTATTAGATAATTCTGGATTTTTCTACATCTTATAGACTAAGAATTCCAGAATTGAAAGACTGAAATTCAAATGTACTGAATTTTTTTTTCTTCCTCTGAATGATTTGAATCAAATTGTTTTACTCTTTCAGCCTCAGAGCCACTATAAGTAAAGTATGTAATCCCTTTCTTACGCATCCTAATAAATAAAAAAAGTTCCTGCTGAAAAATGATCTTCCAGCCCACTGCAGGATTGTATTTGTGGCCGTGACTGCCTACTACAACAACCATTTCTAAGTTTATCGTGTTTTGTTTTGCAGGGAAGCTGAGAAGACAAAACTTCTTATAGCTGCACAGAAGCAAAAAGTTGTGGAGAAAGAAGCTGAGACTGAGAGGAAAAAGGCTGTTATAGGTACTTGGATTTCTTTCTGAAATGAATGTGTTTAAGCATGTAGTTAGGAGCTTGTCCTGTTTTTATCAGTTTCATATTGGATATTGATGAGAACTTAAATAAGATTAAATAGGTAATACAGAATTCTGGCAACTCCATTGTGCATTCAAATGTCCTAACACCTTTAAAATAGACTGCCATTGTGGTCGCAGGTTAAGCTGCTGCTTGTAGTGCTGACCTCCCCTCTCTGTGGAATGCTCGTTCAAACCTTGGCTGCTGTACTTCCAATCTGCTTTCATGCTACTGTGCCTGGGAAAGCAGCAGAGGATGGCCCAAGTACTTAGGTCCCTGCCACTCATATAAGAAACCAGCCTGGGGTTCTAGGCTCCTGGCTTCAGCCTGTTCCAGCTCTGGTCATTGCAGCCATCTGAGGAATAAAGCATCAGTTGGAAGCTGGATCTCTCTACCTCACTCTCTCCCTCCTTCTTGCTTCCTTGTCTCCCTCCCCCCCAACCGTACCCCCTTTTATGTCACTCTGCCTTTCAAATAAATACATTAAAATTAGATGAGGCTAGAAAGAGCACTGGGGGCAGTTGATAAAATGCTGGTTTAAACATCTGGATCCCTGTATCACAAAGAGCCTGGATTTGAGTCTCAGTTCCGTTTCCTGCTAATGTGCACCTTGGGAGGCAGCAGATGATGACTCAGCTAATTGCTTTGCTACCCATGTCTGAGTCCTGGATGGAGATGGAGTTCCCAGCTTCTGGCTTCAGGCTGGCCCAGCTCCAATTCTTGCCAGCTTTTGGAGAGTGAGCCAGCAGGTAGAAAAGCTCTCTGTCTCTTTAGCTCTGTCTTCCTTCCAAATAAAGACCAGTATTAATGACGTGCTTTGGTTTTCTGTCGTGCTGTTGACTGCCGCTGTTCCTTTTAGGGACAGGAACAGTGAATAGGTTTATAGGCAGCTTCAGACTTTGTGGAGTTGGGGTTTTATTTATATAGGCTGTGAATAGCAAAGTTTTTTTGGCCAAGGCTCAAAATTACAACTTTACTGTTGGCATGAACCTGGTTGTATCTAGCTAGGTAGTGCCACCTATGAAAGCATGGCAAGACTGTTTACACTTCATTGCTCATTTTGAATATCAGTGTCTTCCCACACACTATGTATTAGACTAATTTTTTTTTAAAAAGACTTATTTATTTTCATTGGAAAGTCAGACTTACAGAAAGAGGGAAAGACAAAAATCTTCCATCCACTGGTTCACTCAAATAGAGCTAAGCCTATTTGAAACAAAGAACCTGGAGCTTCTTCTAGGTCTCCCACATGGTACAGGTTCTCAAGGCTTTGGGCCATCCTCAACTACTTTTCCAGGCAACAGACAGGAAGCTGGATTGGAAGTGGAGCCTCAGAGATATGAACCAGCACCCATATGGGATGCCATGCTTAGATGTGAGGCATTAGCCAGTTGGACTATTGCGTGGACCACTGTGTTAGACTTTTTTTTTTTTTTTTTTTTTTTTAAAGATTTATTTTTATTATTTTTTATTGGAAAGGTGGATATACAGAGAGGAGATACAGAGAGGAAGATCTTCCATCCGATGATTCACTCCCCAAGTGAGCCGCAACGGGTCGATACTATGCCGATCCAAAGCCAGGAGCCTCTTCCGGGTCTCCCACGCGGATGCAGGGTCCCAAAGCTTTGGGCCGTCCTCGACTGCCTTCCCGGGCCACAGGCAGGGAGCTGGAAGGGAAGCGGGGCTGCCGGGATTAGAACCGGCGCCCATATGGGATCCCGGGCGTGCAAGGCGAGGACTTAACCACTTGCGCCACCGCGCCGGGCCCTGTGTTAGACTTTTATCTTAGCTGCCCAGGTGATACTGAAAGTCTAAGATGCTTTTTATTAAAAAATTCAAATATATAGACATGTGCAGAGGACAGTACGATTAAGGCTTAACATTTGCCGTATCATTAAAATCACTTAAAAAAAATACATCTTTTTGAAATCTACTTTGTACCCTACCCTAGTTTTTTTCTTGACCTTCTGATAGGTTCTGTTCTGAAGTTTATCTTTTTTCTGTTCTTTAACACTTTTATTTTAAGTATGTAACAAAAATTTGTAGAATTGATTTACCTAATTAAAACCGCAAAAGTGGTACCTTCTTATTTTTTTGCTAATAGTTTGAGTTTCATTTATGTTGTTGCATCTAGATCTAGTTCTATTTTTTTAAAAAATATTTAGCTTATTTTTATTGGAAAGGCAAATTTACAAAAAGATCTTCCATCGGTTGGTTTATTCCCCAAGAGCCTACAGTGGCTGGAGCTGAGCTACCTGATCCAAAGGCAGGAGCCAGAAGCTTCTTCTGTGTCTCCCACAGGGATGCAGGGTCCCAAAGCTTTGGCCATCCTCTACTATTTTCCCAGGCCACAAGCAGGGAGCTTGTGGAAGTAGTGCAGTGGGGACATTAACCAGCATCCATATGGGAACCCGGCGGATGCAAGGTGAGGACTTTAGTCACTAGGCCATAGTTCATTTTTTAAACTATTTGTTTTTTAAATTAGAGAGCCAGAGAGACTTTCTGTCTACTATTTCACTTCCCAGGTATCTACAAGTGGCTGAGCCTGGGTTGAGACCAAAGTCAGGAAGGAACCCTGTCTAGCTTCCCACATGACTGGTAGAAACCTACTACTTTGAGCAACCACCACTGCCCCTAGTTGATGCTAAGCTAGAATGAAGAGCAGAGCCATGAACCAATTACACATGTCCCTAATGTGGGACACAGATGCCTTAACCACACAGGTGCCTTAACTGCTATCCTAGATGCTCACTCTCCCACTTCATTTTTAACTGATGTGTATTTCTTTGTGTAAATACTTGCTTATTCTGGTATATTACCAATGAAGAGTTTGGTAGTTTGTAGTTCCTTCTTACTACAAACTGTTGCAGTAATAATGTCCTTTTTTTTTCTTCTTGGGCACAAACATGGAAGAGTAGTAGTATTCATATGAGTCAATATTTTGTCATCACCTTTTTGTTCCTGAGCTATAGTGCTATGAATATAGAAGTTGAGAATGAGTGTTTAAGAAATTCCAGAAGGATTTTGTTTAGAAGTTCTTACAGTGTTTTAACACACTAATTTTATAAGTTTTTCGGAGGTTATATTTTTATGTTTTTTCTTAGCATTTTTTTCCTTGTAATTCGTTTTTGTTATAGTTTATTACATTGATTCCTGGTAGAGTGATAGGAAAAGAAAGTATTTCCCCACAAGTGATTTGAGAGGCACTGCTCTAGAATACACGCCTTAAAGTAGACTTCCTCAGTAAGGGCAATGCATAGCTTCAAGTTTAGCATTGTGGAAGATTGCTGTCTATGTCTAAAGCGAGTCTTCCGTTTATCCTTTCTTCAGCAACATTAGAGTTCCAGTTTCTGCACATTGTCTGCAACCATTGGAGTCATACTTTAAAAAAAATTATGCCACTTTGGTGTTAGACATGGTACCGTACGATTTCAAATTGAATTTCCTTTATTATTAGAGTTGAATAATATATTGCTTATTCAGTGTCTGTTAGTATGTGGATTGCTTGTTGCTATCCTTATTTGCCCATTTGCTTTCCGAGTTGATTCATAAAGAGTTGTTATGTTTCTCTTAGACACTTAGCTCATATTTAGCCATTGCAAATATTCAGTTTTGGCTTGTCTTTGAACTTCATGATATCCTCAAGAGTCGTATATGTTTAGTTTTGCCGTGAGCCAAGGGACCCTGCACCCCTGTGGAAGACTAAGAAGCTCCTGGCTCCTGCCTTTGGATCAGCTAGCTCAGCTCCAGCCATTACAGCCACTTGAGGAGTCTTTACCGTTAGTGCTTTTGTGTTTTTTTAATTTTTAAATTTTATTTCAGTATTTGTTATAAAGGTGAGGGGATGGCAGATTCACGTGGACCTTCAATTAGGGTGGAGAGGGTGGGAAGCGAGGGAGGTGGGTGAGAACAATGTTTCTATTTTCCCTGCTCTGTCCTTGAGGGAGTGGAAGAAGGAAGATAGTCTTTTGATATCCCCTTAGAGACCCCAGTTTGGGGGAAGAATGTTCCAAGCGTGTTACTTGAGTGGTCTTATTGTTGGTGAGAAGTTGTTGGCTTCTTACACTAGAGGTGAGAAATTCTTTCTAAGGCCTGTTGGTTGTCCTTGTATCCCTCAGTATTCCCACAGGCCTAGGTCCTAGTTGTAGAGCCTGGCTTGGGGTGTTGTTCAACTGTCCTGTCCATCTTGATGAGGTACTCAAAGTCTTCTATTGGCTTAGGTGAGCCGGCTGTCTTTCATGTTCATTTAGGTATGCCCTCCAATCTTGCACAAGGGTCAGCAACTGAGATGGCCCAGTCCTGCAATACATACTCTAGGTCAGACCACATGTCTATGTGATTCTCCCTGAGGTTGGGCTTCAAGTGCAGTGATTGTGTTGGGAAGCCCCCAAAAAGTTTCATTTGCGATGTCCTCAGGACTTGCTCCCGTGTGCACCAGCCTTTGCAGGATCAGGCTTAGTCTGGTCCCCTGTATTAGCCAATGCAGTGGGTAGATTGGCCTGGTCAGACAGCTCTCAACCCTGGCTGTCATGTGGACTGGCAGGTGCTGAAGCTTAGCTTAGCCCATCGGGCCCCCAAGCCTATCTTATGCACACTGGCAGGGGCCTAGTTGTGGTGACACTTATTATATCCTACTCTCCCCTCCCCTAACACCCAGCAGGGGCATCCCCAAGGATGCCCTACCATTCCCATCCCTAGCCCCAGTTCTTATGTGTGTTGGCAGTGCTATGGCCCACTCTGAGTCCCAGTGCTCACTAGCAGATGCTCAGGCCTAGCCTGGCCTGGTCCAACCCCAGCCCCAGCTTTTACATGCAGTTGCAGGTGCTGGTGCTGTGGCCTAGTCTGGGCAACCTAAAGAACTCCTACCATACCTCCCCCAAACATGGCTCTGGCGAGCTCTGACAGGAACCATAGCTAGCCTGGTCCAGTCCAATCTGAGCCCAGACTTT